TGGTTATTAGCCAAGGAGAATCCAATGCTCTGAAAAACATACAAATAATGTAGTTAAAGGCCATGAACTTACCTTGGCCAAGGAGACAAGGTTTCCATCATTAAAAACAAAAGCGAAAAAGCACCATTCGACAAATATCTTCTTGATTACAATTCACCACTAAACTAACAGACCATCCTCCTGACCCCGAGGCTAGGATGTGCATGTGTGAGCTGAGGTGGGGTTGGCGTTGATCCCAATGATGTATTTGGGTGAGGCAACTGACAGCAGGCAGGGACGGTTATGAGGATAAATTAACAATTTCTCCTGAGGGACAGGAATCCGTTATTTTCATACACCTGTCTCCTCTGCCACACTCTGTTCCTCCTGCCCCCAAGTCAACCATCTTGAGTGACACAAGTTTTATTAAAAATGAAGACTCACTTTTAGCACAACTAAGAGGTTTCCTGCATTATTAAATCTTTTTCAAATTCTCTAGCATTTTTAAAGTCCGGAAGTTCTCAACCTAGTACATAATCCGCACTTTTAACCTTTCCATTCTACAGGTAAAACATGAATTGTGATACTCAAATTTTCAATGAAAAAAAAAACCAATCTCACCACTAAGAATCTTTCCACTGACACAGCAAAACAAACTAAAAAACCAAGCTTTTACAGGGCTTAATAAAGTCTTTTAGTAATATCCTTGTCACCCTGTTGTGATGAAAGAGCACGGCATAAGTCCTACCTCACTGACCGGTGGTGGCCAGAGCAGAGGGACGCTCCAAATTCTGAGTGGAGCCAAAAAGGCCCCTTCCTCGTGTCCTGGTGTGCAGCGGGGTGATGCGGAGGTGCAGGCAGGTGGCCCCTGAAGCAGGTTACGCTTCACCCTCGCACACCCCCTTTCTACACTCTGACCTGGTCAGGGGCTGAGGACAGGATTAGGAAAAAACCGTCTCAGAAGTGGATTCACAGTGAGGAGCAAAACCCAATTCAATGGAGCCACTTAAATGACAACTACTGACTGGGGCTCTTGTACCTGATATAGACACTGAGGGACAGAACTACGTCCCCTCAAAATGCATCGAGGGACGACGTATAAGGCAACAGCAAGAGGACAGCCATCTGCAAGCCAGGGAGAAGACTCAGGAGGAAACCACCTTGCTGACACCTTTATCTTGGACTTCCAGCCTCAGGAATTGTGAGAAAATCCGTTTCTGTTGCGTAAGGCACCCAGCCTGGGGTGTTTTGTTACAGCAGCCGTAGCAAACTAACATAGACTTCCACAGACACGAAAGACCTTCCCCCTCAGGGCTGCTGGCTGCCCCAGGGCAGGCGCCACAGCGGGTACAGCTCGGAGCCATGTGCAGTATCTTACCCAACATGGGCATCTGATAAATATTTTAGATTATTGTAAGAGTTCGAAGGGTGCTTTAAACAAAGAACATTAGAGCTTTGTAAATAAACTTCATACTTTTCAATCAATCACATGCCACAAATTCTTCCCAAGCCCAAATCTGCCACATCTGCCGTGTAAGCTCAGGCCATCTACTAGCCTCCAAGGTTTGCCTTCCTCCTTTATTAAAATGAGAAGAACAACAGCTACCTCATCAGATTTTCAGAAGGAAATTCCTAATACAGTGCCAAACACACATGTGTTAACATAAAAATGCTCCCCTTCCCTTTGCCAATCAGGAAATGTAAGCTCTTGACCATATTCATGACCACAGAACAAGACAGTGGTAAAATCAGGCCAGGATCTTCTAAGGCCTCAGTACCTGCTAAACACCCAGTCTTTGCACTGAGGCAGAAGAAGACCTTGCCAGAGGGTCCTTCCTGCAAAAGACTATCAGTAATATTCTATTTGAATTCTAGAAAAGCAGGGGACCTCAAGAGAGATCATTTGCTCCTTTCCTAGGCTAAAGGCATCTTGAGTAGAAGAGGCATTTTCTACGCAATATTCTTAGAATGAGAAGTTTGATTTCTCGCCAAAGAAGTTATACTGAAATCATCTAACATCCATGGGTCCCTGCATGTGCCTCTCAGTATCAAAGCTTTTACTCCTGTTCCTCAAACGAGAAGCCAAGCAGATGCGGGAGGGTGATCCACACTCTGTCTCCTTGCAAGATCTAGTTTCCCCAGAAGGTCGAATGGGATCAAGAAGACAGTGAAGAGTGTAGCTGAGCTGTCTCACAAGTAGGCCTCATGAGATCTGGCAGCAAAGACTGAACATTTGAGCCCTGTGACGCTTGTACTATGCCATCTGCACCATTAATTACGATCCCAGGCACCAAAGACGGCTCTGATTTCCATGTTTTAGCACAATTTAAAAGAAAAAGTCTTCCAAAATAAATGCTACTTGGAGCAAATTGGAAGAAAAAGGGGTAAAAGAGCTTGATAGTAGGGGGAAGACCTGGTGAATACTTGTAGGGAATGCTTCCATGTTATGATCGCCTATCCTATGGCAAACAAGAAGGGATCCAGGAAGAAAAAGGGGTAGTCTGAGTCGTGTCTTTTGACATATGACAGACAGCTCCTGAAATAGAAAGCCATAGGTTTCAAGTCTCAGGGGTATCACCTTCAAATATATCAATGTTCTAAGGGTGGATCAGTTTTCCCAACTGCTGACGCCCTGCTGCGAGGAGCAATCCCAAGCAAAACACAAGCCTCTGACTGGGAGCCTTTGAGGCGGCAGGGAGCCATGAGGAGTTCAAAGGCAAGGCCGGCCAGTGGTTTGTACCTCCAAGAGCCATAGGGGTGAAAGGTTACTAAAGCAGGAGCCACTGACCAATAAAATAGTGCTTGGTCAAACCTTCTCAGCAAAGAGACTAGAGATTCATTTCTGCTGTGCCCAATCTTCTGAGCTATCCACGCCTCTGAATCCCTAATTCCCTAGGTCAGATCAGGGAGCTTCTTTCGTGATTAGCAGCTCACCAGTTCTCTCTCCCAGCTGCTTCCATAAAATAGCTGAAAGGTAGATTGGAAAACTTTAATCAAGATCTGTCACCAAAAATAAATAAGAAGGCAACACGGGCCAACTACTTGGACAAAAATCTGCCTGGGGTGAGATTTCCCGTGTTTGCTATGCTAAAATGTTAGTTTGTGGGATTAGAGAAGGCAAATGTAAAACAAGCCTCACTCCAACCAGGCACACTGGAAAGGCCTGCCCCTCTTTAATTAAGACACACACAAACACAGTATGCGAAGGGACCAAGAGGACAGACGTGAAGGCTTATTTCAGGGCGATGATCTCTCCTCTGTCCTGTTCCCCCACATAGTGACAATCCAACTAGAGAAAACTAGGGAGATCTTCTTTGGCCGGTTCTTCTTTTTTGGCTGTGGATACTAACTCAACAGACAGGTCATATGGGAGCCCTTCCACTGTGCCAACACATTCCCAGAAAAAGAGAAATTGAGAAGAGTGTGGGTCCAATGCTGTTTATCACTGTTCCACCTGACCAGGGCATGAGTCCTCTATAAGCTGCTTGCTGCTGGAAAGCTCCATCTTCTGACTAAGGATTATTAAGACAAGCTCTCCTGTTGATCCTGAATGGAAAACCCCAATGTACATTCTCCAATTTGGGACTCTGAACAGAGGGGAAGCTTGAAATAGCTACACTTGCTATGTCGGTAGTCCTCAATTTTTCCTCCTGCCCCTTCTCACCTGAAGGATAATATACACCCATGAGTAAGAGTAGCTGAAGTTCATCATAGCAGGGACTCCCGAGAGAAATCCATGTCCCTGTTCCCCACCTCCACCGCCCCCCCCATCACCCATGCCAGAAAGCAGTTAAGAACCGAGTGGGAGTGGGAAAGGTATGTGAAGTTTGAAAATCCCCACGGGGAATTCGGATCCTTCCCTTGCCTCACAGTGAAAAATTACTATGGTAGCTGATGAAACAGTTAAAATCTTTCTACTCTATATTTTCCAATCTGCAGGTTATACCAAAAAGATTTCCAAAGATTATGCTTGCTATTGCATCATATTCAAAGTTACCTACAACTTGCTAGGCAGAGATATGGAGAATACGGATCTGTGGTTATTCGAGGCTCCAGGGAAGCCACTTGGGTCCACTGCTCCCTACACACTGCCCCACAATCCATGAGTGTGTTATTCAGACGTGTCGCCAACTTCTAGGTCTTCCCATTCTGGTCAAATGCCAAAATGCCTCACTCACTGCTAAACTCAACCCTCAGTCTCCAGCTTAGAACAAAAAGAAACACTCAAAGATCTTTGATACATATATAAGATCATCAAGACCTGCTCAAATTAACCTGAAATTTAACAATACTTCAATATACGTATGTACTTCAAATATCTGAAATATTTAAATGAAAAGTATTAGAATATGAAAGATCACATACGAACTGCTGTCCTATTAAAGTCCTCATCAAAATGGGAAGTACACCTTGAAATATAACAAATTAGTCTTAAGTTACGGGGCGCCTGGGTGGCTCAGTCGTTAAGCGTCTGCCTTCGGCTCAGGTCATGATCCCAGAGTCCTGGGATCGAGCCCCGCATCGGGCTCCCTGCTCAGCGGGAAGTCTGCTTCTTCCTCTCCCACTCCCCCTGCTGTGTTCCCTCTCTCACTGTCTCTCTTTGTCAAATAAATAAAATCTTAAAAAAAAAAAAAAATTAGTCTTAAGTTACAAGGACAGAGATAACCATATTGCCAGAAATGGTTCACATGGACTTACATCTGTACCAATCCTGATCTGATTTAGCATGAAATAAATATATGTGATTGTAGTCTTACAACAATCTTCCCAAGGAAAATAGCATGGGATTATAAGATTAATTGTGCTATTATAAAGCCAAAAACTATGCCAGGCCAAAAATCATTATGCAACCCTAACTCCTTTTCAACATCCGCAATGCTGAGGGAGACAGAATATACATATACAAAAATATATAACTTATATTAATATTTATAGACAGAAATCCTACGGATCACTTAAATCCTGAATACAGTAAATTCTTTTTTTTTTTTTTTTTTTAAAGATTTTATTTATTTATTTGGGAGAGAGAGAATGAGAGACAGAGAGCACGAGAGGGAAGAGGGTCAGAGGGAGAAGCAGACCCCCCGCTGAGCAGGGAGCCCGATGTGGGACTCGATCCCAGGACTCCAGGATCACGACCTGAGCTGAAGGCAGTCGCTTAACCAACTGAGCCACCCAGGTGCCCCTGAATACAGTAAATTCTTTACCAAACATAAAAATACTTGATAATTGACAGGTTATTGTTTTGTAAACAAACCTAGATATGTTTTAAGCATATAACAAATTTACAAAAGCTGCACTGGGTTTCCCGTAATGAGCAATTATTTCTCAGAAATGCTTCCAAATAGTCCCACTCTGTGGGAAACCAGCCCCAAAGAGTCAGACAATTTTTATATAGGCTGCAAATTAATATTTAACACTTTTATTAGAGAGGCCATTTCCTGAAGTAATGTCCCATACTGGGGACTCATTAAAAGGGATTAACCCATGTTAACTCTAGAGACAGCTCTCCAACTAATGCCCAAAGAGGAAACTGACCATCCCATCATGAAAAGGCTGTGCAATGATTGTTCATAATCACGTATTTACGGAGAACTTCCAATATACTCAAGTTATTTTTATGTAACTTAGTCTCATAACTTACATATTTTTTCAGTAAGTTTGTTAAAATTACACCATAAACAATAATACCCAGTTTGTTAAACTTCTTAACTGATTACCAGATATCAATTTAGTCCACCCAAAAAATGTATAAAAAAGCAGTTCTATCGCTTTGGAGTTTGGGACATTTTGTTTTATTGCTCGTTTGGTTTTTATACCTAATTACTCTCCCCACAGGAGCTACATGAGCAATAAAACAAACCAGTATATTTTTACTGTTCACTCAATGAAAATCATTAATCCTAGATCAACAGCCATATAATTTGACTAACTTACTACAAAAATTCCTTGCTTTTGCCTCAACCTCAAGTTAAATGGCTATTTTAAATTGAACACACTTGCAAAACTGCTCATGTCCAAAACTATCTGAAAAGGGAAAAATAATGTGTTTGGTGCCAAAAGGGTACGCAGCACTTAAAAATACATATCCATTGGGTTTTGCTTATCTCTACTAATGTCTTCCTAAAGGCTTCAGTTAGGAGAAGAGCAGGCAGATAGAAAGCACATCCTGAGGGCATATTCCATCCACTCTGGAACTCAAGGTTGGAAAACTGAAAGGAGAAGGAGGGCAGGGGAGCACCTTTTGAAACGCCTGGAAAAACATTCTGGTCTGGAGATGCCAGAGATTCTGAAGCTCCCATCAAGCTGCTGGCCTTGATCCAGGTAATGGTTTTTCCTTCCCCTCAGCTGTCTGCTGCGGGAGTTTTCCAGCAAAGAAAGAAAGGAAAAGTGGTAGGGAAGAGGGAGGAGCAGCTTCCAGTCCACTTCTCTGTAAGTGAGAGGGTAAAAAGGGCCAGGTATTGCAGGCTGACATTTATAGAGGGCCTGGCGTTTCCATGAAGCACTCTGGGAGGATTACTGGGGGTTAGCAGTCTGGTCTAAAAGGGGCAGCAAAGCAGACTGAGGAGAGTCCCTTTAAATTTGGTAAGTGATGCTGTGGGCAAAGACACGGCAAGCCAGAGCGGGCAAAGACGTGTGAGCAGACGCCCAGCCAGTCAGGCGGCCTTTAGAAAACACGTACATGGTAAACTTGGCTCCCCTAGCCCTTCGGGGCTGCCCAACTCACTTGCCGAAGCTCGAAAGCACAAACTGCCCGTGGAATGGCACTTTCTAATCGAGGGATAAAATGGCTGCCTCCACCAACCAAGAAAGCGACTCATCCAGCCAAGGGCAGGGTTCTGGATCTGCACAGGTTAATGAGCTCGCTAGTCTTTGACCTCCAAATCACGGCCACACCACCCAATCCCTCCTGCCTGGCATTTTTCTTCAATTTTAATATCAGAAGTTTCACACGCCTGCCTGAGCTCCTGGACTCGGCAGAAAGACCCATATAGCTGTCAGCAAACTGATAAGAACTTTAAAATGACTCCGCGGGGCCTCTTTAGAAAGAAGAGCCAAAGACGCCCATAAAGAAACAGGGCAGGGGCCACGGAAACCAGCCGCTCACACTGGTTTAACGTGGCATTAAAATGAGCTACAGATTTATGGCAGTGTTTTAGCCCCTGGCCCACATCATCTGGGGGATGAAGCTCCCGTCCCCGCTCCCCAGAGTGATTTTAAATCTGGGATAGAGCTGGCCAGAAAGTAATGGGGGGAGGGAGGCAGAGGTAGCAGGAGGAGGAGAGGAAAAAGGAAGAGGCAGAGAGTACTGGGAAATAGAACAGAACTCAGTCTCTTTTCAGTGAGATGGGAACAACAGCTATTTCTAAAAGCTATCTGGCCGGTCCTCTTAAACGCTCATAAAAATTCCCTTTATTTTTAGTTCTTACCCAGTGAACTCAAGTTCTTCAACCCTTTACCACCCCAGCGTCAATTCTGATCGTAACTTTTCTCTTTAAGTTCATTTCTTTTTTAATTTTTCAGTTCAAAAAATGAATAAAATCATCATTTGGCAGAGAACACATCTGAAGAAGGAAAAAAAACTCAGTACAAAATTTTTTTCTCACTGGAAAGAAGAAAAAGTAATAGTGCTTTATCCAAACGCGCCAATGAATTTTTTTTTAAAGGCTAGCTAGCGAAACACTTTTTTTTTTTATTTGACAGAGAGAGACACAGCGAGAGAGAGGGAACACAAGCAGGGGTAGCAGGAGAGGGAGAAGCAGGCTTCCCACCGAGCAGGGAGCCCGATGCGGGGCTCGATCCCAGGACCCTGGGATCATGACCTGAGCCGAAGGCAGACGCTTAATGACCAAGCCACCCAGGCGCCCCGAGAACTACGGATTTTAATCAGCCATTCGGATCCTAACAGAAAAACAGAGAGGTGAACTGCCTTCCATGCCAAGATGTAGAAAGTACACCAGACCCACAGGAATAAATTGTTTCAAGTTTCCAAGCCCAGAAGCAAATGCATAATACATCCATGTTGGTAACTCACTGTGGTTCCTTAAGACCAAACTCCATACCAGAAGGCTCCTTCCAATATTCAAACCCAAACCCAAGCAGAGCAATCCCAAATGACTGCCAGCATGGAGCAGGCAGACCAGAACCCAGATGCTTCCATGATTTCATGTAATCAACACAACTGCTCCACAGTGGTACTAGCCCCAGGTCTGAAGTACGGAAAGGGAAGCTTCAACAAGTTAAGTAACTGGCCCACAGACACAGGTTAGGATTTGTGGCACAGTTTAGGATTTAGAACTCAGGTCTCTCCAACTCAAAAACCCACGTGCTTGCCACTGCCAACATTTTTCAAACTTTTTGGACTAAGAAATGAACATATTTTATACTGAGCTCATAGCTCATCCACATATATAACTGAAATAGAGGTTTCTGAAAGTATTTATCTTTACTGGGTAATATGCTGATATTGTCCTTTCTATTATATTTCATTTTTAAAAAAATTAAATGCCAGTCATCACCCAGTGAATTGACTTCATGATCTAACTAACGAATCATGACCCTTGGTCTGGAAAATACTGCAGTACCCAATGTCCGGGCTCCCCCACCCCCACCCAAAATCATCAGACAGATAGTGAGGAGACCTGGGATCCAGTCAGGCTCAACCCTGGCCCTAACACTTCATTCTCAAGATCACCTGAACTTGGGACGCCTGGGTGGCTCACTCAGTGAAGCATCTGCCTCTGGCTCAGGACACGATCCCAGGGTCCTGTGATCAAGTCCCGCCCACTTCTCCCTCTGCCTGCCACTCCCCCTGCTCGTGCGCGCGCGCGCACACACACACTCGCTCTCTCTCAAATAAATAAATAGAATCTTAAAAAAAAAAAAAAAAAGATCACCTGACCTCTAGGGCTTATGTGTCATTTATAAAATACGAAGAAAGGTTGAACAGTTTCGAAGGTCCCTTCTTTGATTTTGTTTCTCAATCTCCTTAATGAATACTGCTTTCCCCTTCCTCCTAGGCCGCTGCTATTCGAAGTCCTTGCTCAGGGACGCCTGGGTGGGGCTCAGTTGGTTAAGTGTTTGCCTTCAGCTCAGGTCATGGTCCCAGGGTCCTGGGATCGAGTCCCGCGTCGGGCTCCCTGCTCAGCGGGGAGCCTGCTTCTCCCTCTGCTTGCCACTCCCCCTGCTTGTGCTCTCTCTCTCTGAAAATAAATAAATTGAAACAAAACAAAGCCCTTGCTCGTTGTGCTCCATCTTACCTGCCGAGTCTTTCTCACAGAAGCCACCTCTGGGCGAAGGTCAGTACCCTCCCAGAGCATCCCATCTTCCTACCCGAGCCTAGCCGCTGTGAAGATTCCCTTCACCTCCGATTGACTCCTGACTCTCCATAGCACACCTGAGTGACAGCACTTCTGGCCTTGTAGTGGGTGTATTACTGAAAGGACTCTCCCCAGCAGCCTCGGGGCCTTTCTTAAAGACAGGATCTGAGCCCTTCACCCTGCTTCGTAAAAAAAAAAAAAAAAAAAAAAAGTCTCCCTCAATATGCCTGTATAATACTAGGAATAGAGCAGGTGCTTAATACATACTTATTTGATGGGTTTGCATTATGAAATTAAAGACTCTAATTCTCCTACATTTGGAGAATATTTAGGTGGGCTGCTCTAGGAAGAGCCACTGAACTCATTAAAGCTGGTACCATAATAAGATAAGTGAGCATTTCCAGACCAGGTTGCACACACGACTCACTTCTGTTTGCCTGGGGACAAGGTGTGCCAGGGCTGCCAAGGAAAGCAGCTTTATGGTCTCTCCATCTGGACTGTGAGGATTTAAATCTCAGAAGCTATACAAAGTAACTGCAAATCAGCGCAAACCTTAAAGACAGGAAAATTTATTTGCAGGCCCTGGTGCACTATAAATTTGAGACAGTTCTATTAAAATGCTTTTCTTGGCTTCCCATCAGATACTTGGCAAAAGTCTTTTTCCAATAAGGTTCTTAATACTAAAGTTGGGGGAGAAAAAAAAAAGTGGAACACATAAAAAAATGCTCTTCCTTAAGAGTTCCAATTAAATGAGTCTTTATTTTATCCTGCTTTAAACAATATACATTAACCAATCTCTTTCGCAATATGGATTTACACATTCAGAAAAACTCAAACACAGAGAATCCAGTGCTATTGAAAAGAAATTATGAAATTCAGAATATCCCATAAAGCAATCCCACTCAATCCCCATGGCTCTCCCATGGGCCAAAGAGCCCAGCTTTGTGTCAGAACCATGGTTGTCTGTTTCACAGAAGAACTGCAGGGATCCGGTCAATGTGTTTTGGGCAAGCAATGCAGTACGAAAGGGCAAGGACGAAAAAAAGCAGAGATCGGGAAACACAGCTTGGAGTGACTTGTCGGGGCCAGAGAGTTGGGGGAGAAAAGGAGGCAGGGAATATTTAGCATTTTTTAAAAAGCCGTGAGAATTCAGTTTAAGTATACTAAAAAAATTTTCAATTTCACAGGTAGGGGGATAAAAATGACAGACATTACAATATTGATTCTGGAAATTAGAAGTGAAATATTTTCCATATTCTTCATAATATATTTCCAGGGATGCATCCAACCAGCCCTAAATGTCTCAAGCGACCGCTTTTTTGGGAAGACTATCCAATAATCAGTCATCTTGAATTATTGGCAAGTTCATCTGATTTTTTTTGCCTCAATCCAGGCCACACAGCTCTGTGATTTGAATAAAGTTGTGGGCAGCTAAAGAGAGTGTGCTCCCTGTCTGTCCCTCACATGGTGTGCGGTCTTGGGAGGATTACTTTGCGTGCCTTCGTCCTCAGTATCCTCACGTGAAAACATTCAGATTACCCGTCTGCCTGCCTATCTCACTACTCTGTTTAAACAGTTTGCTCTGTAAACCGTGTGCTCGGTGTGAGGCAGGGAGGGGGAAATGGACACGGACTGTCGATGGACAGGACAGGCAAGCCACCAGCACGGGGAACCTTCAGAGAACGGGACTGCTGAGGCTTCCCGACATCTAAGGGTTTACCTTTCACTGAATCATGAACACTTTTAAAAATAAAAACTTTTTTTCAATTTTACTAAGTTTCTAATTTTAATTCCAGTAGAGTTAACATGCAGTATTATATTAGTTTCAGGTGTCCGACACAGTTATTCAAGAATTCTGTACATTACTCAGGGCTCATCATGGTAAGTGTACTTAATCCCCTCCACCTATTTCCCCCATGCCCCCACCCACATCCCCTCTGCTGACCATCAGTTTGTTCTCTGTATTTAAGAGTCTGTAAAAACAAACATTTTGGACAGACTTTATAAAACTTTATAAAAGTGTATTATAAAAACTTTATAAATTATTTTAAGAGCTACTATTTTAAAAATATACATATGTATGTGCTAAACAAAATTTAAACCTTCACTTAAAGATTCAAGGGCATCACCAAGAATAGCAATTTCTGTACTTCCTCAATTTTAAGACACCCCATCAATAACAGCTTTAAGAGAAAAAACAAACCAATTCAAACTGATGGCAAGTCTCATTTGGATGTCAGAAAGCCAAAATATGACAAACAAACAAATGTGTACTTCTCTGAATTGAGGAATTCTGCCATCTTACAATGATGCACCCAGGATACAGTGAAGCCTGCAAAGCTGTTGGCCGTATATCCAATGTACTAAGAGTTTTCTTTTTCTTTTTTTTTTTTTTTTTAAAGATTTTATTTATTTATTTGACAGAGAGACACAGCGAGAGAGGGAACATCAGCAGGGGGAGTGGGAGTGGGAGAAGCAGACTCCCCGCCGAGCAGGGAGCCCGATGCGGGACTCGATCCCAGGACCCTGGGATCATGACCTGAGCCGAAGGCAGTCACTTAACCGAGCCACCCAGGCGCCCCAAGAGTTTTATTTTTCAAACAGCTTTTCCATCTTCGCTACTCATGCCAAACTGGCAGATGACCCATCTCAGAGACCCTCCCTTATAGTCTTTCTGCCCTTCCAATTAGTGACTTCTAAGCTACTCTGTGAAAATTGGGTAAGTCACTGTGTTGAAATTACCTGTAAGTAAAATAAAATACAAGCCTCGATTTAGGGGCCAACCCACAGACAAAGTGCGTGACCTCTGGTACGCACACACACATTTGCTCTTGTGAGTTCTGTTCTGCTCTCTCCTTTATCACAGCGAGACCTAACTATAGTCCTGGTCGGTCCGGGTGCCACATGCCTGGGGTTTTATTTTCTTAAATACAAGTGTTTTGTCTTTTTCCTAATCAATTATATCTTCAAGTACTCCTCAGCAGCACAAATATTCGGTATGCTTAGCAGGAAAATATGAAAGTAAACTGAGATGGGTCAGTGTAACAGACTGAAAAGAAACTGCTATTTTAACTCACCCAAGCTTACAGGCCAGGGAGAAAAGAAGATGCTGACTATTTCTGCCACCTCAAAGGCTCCCAGTCAATTGAGTACAAAGAAGAGTTCAAAGGCAAGGCAGGCTCCTGACTTCCACCTCCTAGTGTGGCTGAGGTTAGAGGTCACTGCCGGTGGAGCCACTGACCAATAAAAGAATGTTTGGAAACTCCACTCAACAGATAAACCGAGGATCCATTTACGCCTTTCTCCCTATCCACACAAACATTTCCAACTATACAGTCCCGTGTCTACCCAGCCTTCCAAGATCCTAGATTGCTTTCTTTTCTATTGTCGTTCAAGAGAGACTAGGAATATGAATGTTCCTTCTGACCACAGAAGAATATTCAGTTGCATACATCTTCCTGTCTTCCAATGTAAGAAAGGTGGTTGATAGGGCTCTCCACCTTTAAGGCCTACCTCAAATGCTACCCCCCCAATAAATCTGTCCCTGACAACTTCAGCCCATAACTTTTCCCTTCCATTTCAGATCCCTAATGTACTTTGGAAAATGTGCACCATTTTCTCAACTTTGTGCTTATACCCACACATCACCAAGATAACAATTAGGCCTTTGGAGTGGGGATCACAGATTTATTACTATCTCGCGCCATCTCGAGACCCTTGAAAAAACAACACTTAATTAGGGCTTCACTAAGTTAACTAGTTAATTTAGCTTGTGGGATGATAAAAGGCCAACTGATAAGTTGGCTTTATACTGTTACAACTCTCACCCTCTACTAATTGAAGGAACTGGTTTTTAATTTACCCACAAAGAAAACCTTTAAGCTCTCCCCACCCCCAGCTTGTCCAATACTCTCGTCAGCTTTCAGGAGTAGATAACTTATTGTCTTTAGGCTCTAGCCTCGTACTTAACTTTAGGGCTGCTTCGACATCACATCTAAGGTCAGGAGGCAAATTTACCTACTTTTCCTTGTTAGGCAAAGTGTCTCTCCCTTGGTGCATCCTACTGCTCAAGTCACGATGAAGACTTTCACCGTGGTCCTCACCAGTCACACTGCAGCCTCCCTCATCCCGAGCTCTAAGCTGCAAAATGTCACTAAAATATTTCCATCACCAAGATTGCACCCCCACTCCGCTGGGGTCAATTCAGAAACATAGCTCTCTTCCAACTACAGACAGCAAAAATCCTGTGCTCAGCACTATTTCTTCCTCACCTGAAAGAAATAGTCTCTGGAGACTGACTACGAAGACAATGCCAGTAAGAAGCACCTTAGGATTTCTTGGAAACACTGACAGGGTCCAAAGGAAAAGGAGTCACTTAAAAGTGGATGGAGACCTCTGCTGGCTGCAATTGTCCCTGCAGCTTCTCAAGCTAGTTTTCAGCGGCTGAGCAAGAAATTCAACTGTTGCTCAGGCTCAGCTCATTCTGACCTATCAACCAGGGGCTCTAAGGTATCAACTACTGATACAACAGGATTTCCCTGGAAATTTATACCTGTCTGACAAAAAGATCCAAATTTGACCTCCATAAAGAGAATTCACTAAGGTGTAAAAACTTTCCAGAACCAAGTGTGTACTATTTTTTCAGGCACTCCTGCCAAGGTCAGGTTAAATCGATGGGTTAACCAGAGGGCAAAATGACAAGCAGATTCTGCAAAGGATCCTATAGAACAAAAAAACTCTCTCTAATCTTAGATGAGAACTTCACTATCAATAGGACGGTGGTTCCCAATCAAAGCAATGTTGCCCCAAAACCGGACAGTTAACAGTATCTAGAGTCTTTTCTGGTTATCACACCTTGGGAGAAGGGTGTGCTATTAGCGTCTATCAGCTGAACCTGGTCAACCTTATACCTCTCTGGGAATTAATTCAACCAGGTAATCTCACCTTTGGTAGAGTTCAGTCTAGAAATCTGAGATTGGGAGAAGAAAAGAGGTCATTTTGGGCATACAGAATATTCAGGGAAAGGGGAGCAGGTCTCCATGGGGCACTGCAGTGGACTGCTTTAGAAGGTCTGAAAGCAATAGAGAAGAGGGACATGAGAAAGCCGAAGGAAGACTTGGAAAAGGAGGCGGGGAAGTGCCAAGACTGCCTTTCTGTCCAAGTTGACACAATGTGGGGCACTCACCACCCGAGGAAGTGACTGGCCCTTGGGCCTAGAGGCGTGCAGCAGAGAAGAGATGGCCACTGGGCCATTCATTTTGTCAAGGACGGTAATATTCTTGCTAAGAACAAGAGGTTCACAGACGTTTTAAACAGCTGAATGGAACATGAGAAAGGATCTAGCCATCCCCATCATTTCATAAAGGTGGAAATGAAAGCCTAGTGAGCTTTGGTGACTTATCACTGTTGTATTAACTCACAGGGACAGAGCCAGGGCTCATATCCAAGTCTTTTGACTCCAAGGATATCTCTTTGAACCCAAATAACCTCAAAGTACTCAATTTTTAATGACCTCTATTCATTCTATCTCAACAGCTCTACGATTCGGAGCCCGGACTCAGAAACGACCAGCTGCGCCTACCTCAGCCCTGTGGTTCCCCAGCCGGCTCTGGGCAACAATGGCGTTCCATAAGCTAGCGTGGGAGCTCGGCTCCAAAAACCCAATGATTCTTTTTCCTCCACAGGATGGTGCCAGGTTTTTACTTGGCCTTGTCAGACTGGAATCTTAAGATGGTATCTGATTTGGCAGATGACTCCTACTTAGTTACATTAATAAATCAAGATGCCATAAAAGAAACATCCAGAGCTCACACACCAGGACTCTTCTTCTGTGAAAAGGAACATTTTCTTCTATACGACTTGTAAGAACCATAGGCTGAGATGAGGAATCTAGAGATCTCCAGACGGATTTTCTGACTGAAACTCAGACGAGGTGAGTAGTGAAGTGATAACTGAGAAGCCCAAACACTTAAAATGAACATGAACAGCTCTGAAAAAAAAATGGAGAGGCTAAAATCCGACTGTGATTTGTTTTGTTTTTAAGATTTTGTTTATTTAAGAGAGAGAGAGCATGCGCACAGAGAAAGAGGAAGACAGCACAGAGAGGGAGAAGCAGATGCCCTGCTGAGCAGGGAGCCGGACACAGGGCTCGATCCCAGGACCCCAGGACCATGACCTGAGGCAAAGTCAGGCACTTAACCAACTGAGCCACCCAGGCACCCCTGTGATTTGTCTTCCAATCACAATGCCCGTATGTGTTACCAGTGAGGTCACTGAGGTCCAGAGAAGGCGAAGCCTTGGCCACGGGTACAGTCGGTGCCCAGCCGAGACGGCACGGGCGTAGGCAGTCTGAGGTCAGCACCTGCACGACCGGTACCGCGTGACGCGGCCGTCTCCGTGGTTTAAAGTAAGAAAGTGGTGGATCCACACATCCGCTAATTCTCCCTGCCTCCTAAAACCCTAAAATGACGATTACGACAAATTTTTAAAAATGAAGGCATCGTCACTCTAAGATCAAGAAGATGGGAGACGAGCTGAAGCAACAAAATGGGGAAGCTGAAAAGCAGAACGAGACGTGGTGGCTGACTCTCCGGGCCCAAGCAGCCGCTGAGGAAAATCAGCTGAGAAAAACCCGAGGTCGCCCGCTGTGGAACCCCAAGTGGGGGCAAAGATGAGGGACTTAATGCTGAGACCCCTCCAACCTCTCTCCTGCTCATCTCCTACAATGATAATTTTGACAAAAATAAAAACCTTAAGAATCTACTAAAAAGAAAAGAAACAACAAGCATAGTACCAATTTGGGGTAGTTTTTTTAATTTTTTTTTTTAGCTTGCTTATTAACATTTCCGCCCACCTAAATTTCTCTCTGGCAAGAGAAAAGAAAGAGAAGCAGGACTATCTGTGGCCCCGAGTGGCATGCTGCAGACCGTGGAGAGCAGCCCAGGGGAAGGGGTATCAGAAGGTGGAAGAGACACCAGACAGTGAGGCAGGGGTGCAGCACCTGCTCCAGGGGACAGGGAGCACCGCTCGTGAGGGAGGCCACTGGAACCGGGAACCTAGGCCTGCTGATATGACAACATTCTCCTGGTCAACAGCTACTCAGAAGCATCACCCTGAAATGTCCCTACTTCCTGAGCTGCCTTAGTCACGACAACTATCACCCGCTGTGAGAACAGCCATCCAAAAAGGCTCTGCATCCTGAACACACTGCTACGCTATGACCCTAAAACATAAAAAGAGGCTTACCTCAGGAGAGTTTTTAAACCTCTGATAGTTACTATCTCAAACCTTATCTGATGCGACTCACCTGAGTCCGCTTTCCTCTCTCCGGTTTGGTGAGTCGATCTAGCGGAGGAAATCGCCCCGCTCACTCAGTCAGCTCTGTCGATGTGTATCCCCACCGTGCAGGCCACCCTTCCGTACCACCCGTGTCACCCCCACCCCCCCAAGCAGGCCTGCCTGGCCTCTTACCTGCCGCTGCATTTCTTCAATCTGCCTTTGGGGGATGCTCTGCAAAATACCGTACACATCAGATATCTTTTCTTCCGGGACAACCACAGATGCTCTAGAGAAGACACCAAAACAGTTTCTATACACCCAACGCTCTACACAAAGCACCTTGACAGACCTGTCCCGCTGCGTTCTCCCGAGCAGAAACAACACACCTGCACCCTCCTTCAGCCCGCATTCCCTCCGGCGAGTGGCTCCCCATCCTCTCCTCAGGGCCCCCCTTCTCAAAGGCCTTCGTTCTCTGGCCTGCTGCGTTTCCTCACCTCCCTCCATGCCACCCGTGTACTCCAGCAAACCATGCTCTGCCCACCACGGGGCCTGTGGGTGTGAACTTCCTGCTCCCTGGTATACTCTTTAACTTCACTGCCTGCTCTGAACGAACAAGGACTTTCCTCATTTAGCTCCCTACTCAAAGCCATTCACTCACTCAGCACGTATTTACGGAGCCGCTATCACGTGCCAGGTGCTGGGATTACGACAGCGACCGAATCAGACAAGGGCTGGGGCTGAGCACCACGGGAACACCTGCGGGAGAGCATTCTAGGCAGAAGGCCCTGAGGAAGCAGCATGCTGGGAATGTTCTGGCAACAGCACGGAGGCCGGCGTGGCTGGAGTAAAGAAGATGGAGAAAACCAGGAGGTAAACAGGGGAGGGGGGCGAACAGCAAGCGCACGGGGCCTTGCAGGCTGTGGTAAGGACTCGGCTTTAACTGAGACAGAAAGCCATTAGAAGGTTTTAGGCAGAGCTGGCATGATCTGATTAAGTTCCAACGGGGCCATTCTGCCTAAAGTGCTGGAAGAAACTGCAGAAAGCAGGAGCAGAACGGCTGGAGACGGTCGCAAAATACAGTAGAAGAGCCGGGGAAAGTGGTGAGGACTTGCCCGCAGGTCAGACACATGGGTGAGGGAGACAGAGGGCTCAGCAACCACCCACCCGTCAGGGCATTTAGCAGGGTTTCCCATTTTATTTGTACCAATTAACTTATGAAAATCTGAAACCCGCTCCCCAGCAAGACTAGTCTGTTAGGACGGAAACCACGCCTGGTTCCACTCCCCAGCAGCCCCTGAGCACCTGGTACATTGTCTAGCACACATAGTTGGCACTTAGTAAATATTTGCTAAATAAGTGCACGATTTCTATTGTACAGATGGGAAAACTGAGGCTCAAAGAAAGAAAGAAACGATTTGGCAAGATCACAAAGCTAGCCAGGGACAGAGCTGGTTACCTGAACCTGGGCCTTCTGGCTCCGAATCCAGAGCCCTTCCACCACTTACCCATAAGGACAACTACCCAAGCCGGTCTGGATTCTCACAGGAGTATCTTTCCAGCCGTGGCTCAGGGTCACTGCCTCCATGAAGCCCTCACCAACTCCACTGCCGGCAGAGGTGTGCGCCTCCTCCTCGCGCTTCTCCTACCATCCCACCCAGCCCGGCTGCATCTCATCGCAGTAGTCGGTCACGGCTGGTTCACCTGTCTATCCTCCACCAGTAGGCTAGTGGCTTCCTGGAGGCAAGGTTTGACCGATCATCTTTGTATCCCCATACCTAACACAGTACCTCGCAAATAAAGGGCCTCAACAAATGTCTCCACGGATGCTTAAATGACTGGAGGTGGCTCAGCACTTCTCTTAAGATAAAAAGAATTACACAGCCTCGTCTTTCAGGCTGAATGAGGCTACCCCTCTGTGCTGGGCTTCCACTGCCCCCTGTGCAGGCATCTACAAGGCACTTATCACATGTTATTAGAACGCTTGGTTTGTTCCCCACTAGATCCCAGCCTCCTTAAGAGCAGAGACTGCATTATTCACAGGAGACTTTCCAATAACTATGAGATGAATCAGTGTACAGAAGAATGAATGTTACTTGCATTGTTCAAATACCTATGGTGATCAGACACGAACAGAAATATCAGAACAGGTGGGAGAGGAGAAAGTAATTAAGTATCTGAGGCGGAGTCAAGCTTGAGAGGTATACACAAAGGGAGCTAATTTTCAATAATCTTTAACTGCCAAAGTCCTGGGGAAATGAAACAACATGAGACCAGAGGGCTCTTCTGTCCATTACAGCCATAACCAAGCGGGACCCATGTTTGCCCTTCTGTGCCCTGGGAATGTCTCTAAGCTTTCACGCATGCGGCGGCACTCCCCCTCCAGCTAGTAACATCATGCAAACTCTGCAGAGTCTCTAGCACTTCACCACTGTGGCTGCAGATCACACCCACGGAGCTCTTAAGTGCAGCATTCCTTAAAGTCCTTCTGGTGACTATACTCTGCAGTTACAAGGGAGAACCACTGCTCTCGTCTTTGGTAAAAGCCCAGACAGTACGTATTTCAGGCTTTGTGGGCCATATCATCTCTGTCACAACTACTCAGCTCCGCCACGGCAGCATAGACACAGCCAGGGGATAATACGTGAGTGAATGGGTATGGCTGTGTTTCAATAAAACTTTATTTACAAAACCTGGCAGCTTCCCATATCTGGCCCAAAGGCCTCAGTTTGTGAACCTCTGCTCTAGACCAACAGACTAACTCTTCTGATGGAAAATACAGCAAAACAATCTGCAGGAGTAGTTTTCAAACCTAGGTAGGCATTACAATTACTGAGGGGGCTTTCAAAATCTAATGCACACAGAACCACTGGTGTGAAGTTTATTACAAGGTAACACTCACCTCTTCCAGTCCAGAACTTCAGAGAAAGGCAAAATATAGGAGTCTGCAATGACAACTGGGACACAGCCGGCGCGTAAAACGTCACTCAGTACCGCCTGGCCCAGCCGAGCACCACGAAGGACCACACAGAACGTGGCCTCCTGCGGGAACACAAGCAGAGGCAGGGGATCACAAACCAGTCTCGCTGACCCACTCTCTGGTCACTGCAGACCATCATGTTCTCCTGAGGGCTGAAGCCAAGCGCTACTGAGACACCCTGACCGAAAACGCGAACAGATAAAGCTCACACCAGGGGAACTTGAAAAGCTCAACTGGCTGCAACGCTTGGTGCTTCCACTCTTCAGTGTCACCTCGATGCCGCTACTGGTGGCATCTGAAATGTCCAGAGCCAACGTCCAAGTCTTTTCTGGGCCCTCAGTGATGTGACCTCCCACAGCCGGGTTCCTTCCAGCCCCACACTACGCACGCACACCGAGGCACGGGGGCTGAGCATCACTTACGGCGCTTACCTCAGCCTACCTCACAACAGAATTACTTGTCTGGGCATTTCAGGCTTTCTAGAGGACCCCCTAGAGGGAAGCTATCAACTCTCATCTTTCTACTCCTCATGGCACTGAGCAGTGTGCTCTGTACATAGAAGATATTCATTTCACGTATGCAGTGCCTTTGAAAACACGCAGATATGTTCTTCTTAGAACAATAAATCAAACAGAAAGCAAGTTTCTTCTCCCTTCCCTCCCTCAAGCCTAGTCAATGTGGGGAACGTTTCAGAAAATGAGAGACGTACAGGAGAACAAGCAGTTGTGACAGGTAAGCAAAAATAAGAAACGACCCTCTCTCCAACACTCGGTTTTTCCCAGTTTTTGCCTCTTCAGGAGGAAAAAAAAAAAAGATTAAAAAAAAAACCCCAAAACCCACTGTTTCATCTTTACAGCTAGAGAAAAGGAAAGTTCAGAAAAAAATGTAAAGAAACTCAATATGCCAAACTCCTCCAGGGATACATGAGAAAGCAGCAAGGGCTGAAGAAGAGAATCAGTCATGGCGCCTAGAGGTGCAGGTGGACAGCTCAGCCTGCCCTGAAGAGTCAGCATCCAGATGTGGACACACGTGCTGATAACCATTTTTCCTGTCTAGACAAAGGTTACTATAAATACTCCTGCTCACATCACCACTGTTATCAGTCAGACATTCCAGAGGCCACGCAGCACTTTCTCGGAGAGAAAGTATTTTAACAATCTCAGCATGGGCCAGTTCTCTTTGGAGATTGAAAAAAAAAAAAAAAGAATCACACCAGCTCCTTGCTATTTCCCCTTGAACTATTTTAAATATTTCAGGGAACAAAACTCACTTTCTCCTTTCCTAGCCCCCATGCCCTTGGAATGCCAAGCATCCTGCTTATGCTTAAAATATCCCCCAAAGGACTACTCTTACGCTCGAGTATGGAAATACTGCCATGCCCATGACTCAGGCGAAGGACATACTACCAGTAGGACATGCCGAGGGTGGCAAAACACCAACAGACAAAACAGTAACAAAAAACGAAAACCCTCCATTCCCAGCAAAAGTTGACTGCGGCCTCGTGGGCCCGCATGTCAGAGGCTCCAAGCTGCCACCTTGAAGAGGAGATGTCTCTGCATGGGCTTAGGAATACAGGGGGAAAAGTAAAACACGTTTGCCCACTGTCCATGTGACTTCTCCGCAAACCCATCGCAGTTGCGGTTCTGGAGGGTAACGGATGTCTGAAAGGGGCAGGAGTACTCAGAGGCCAAGCAGCTCTGCACAAACAGCAGACGCCAGACGCCGACGCACCTGAGGGCCCGCGTGGCTGGTAAAGAGCAGGACTACGTTCTCTTCTCCCCTTGGGTAATTCCCTGGCTGCTTGTGGGAAACAAGGCCTTTTGCTGGGGTGCGTGCTACTTCGAGGAAGGGACCTCTCCCGAGCCTGGCGGCTAAGGGCAGACACTCACCTGCAGCACCTGGGGGTAATCGTAGACCTGGTGCTCGCGGCAGCGCTTACGCACCCACAGGACACCCTCTGAGAGGTTGGTGCATTTATCCAGCACTAACACCGACTCCCCGTGTCTGGCCTGCAGGGCGTCCAGGTCTTCTCTGTACTCGGGGTGGATAGCCATCTGAGAGGACAGGAGGAAGTACCGCCGGGGACTGCAAGAGAGCAAGAAGCGTGACTGGAACATTGCCGCCGGCTCGCTGGTCAAGGTACAACAAACCCGGACGTTCAACTTACGGCAGGGAGTGGGTTCTCACCGGACTTCACATCTCTCGATTTTCTGGGAAATCACGCTCTGCAGCATTGCTTAGGATTTACAGTATTATACACCATAGGAACGTAAGGTATGACTCAGTCACGTGCCATCATTAAAGATTTTATTGGGGAGAAGTTCTTCAGGTTTTGAGGAAATGCTTGTAATATGCCAAGCTTGGACAGCAAGCTATAAATATGTATGTGCGTGCGTGGACAAAGAGAGAAACCAACCGGCTGACTACTTGGAAGAAACATCAACGTGTTACCACCATTAGTTATATCTGAGGTCTCTAATCTGAAAAGGAACTGAGAGCTGGCTGATGGGCAGTACCGGTGGTAAAACCAGAAGAGGTGAAGGACTGCTTCTGGCTGCTGAATGGCCTCCTCAGGCTACGGAGACACTTCAGGGAAGAGAGCCCCCATCCTCAAGGCCACCCGCACACAGGAAGACTGAATTGGTGTTGAGAACAACACGTGGAAAAAACTGCCTTCACCAAAGGAGGGAACCCAGTCTTAACATCTGGATAGCAAGGATGTCTAAGAGAAAATGGAGTGAAGAAAGCATTTCCATGGGTCTAGTGCCATTTAGATCTCCACAAGACAAACACACGAACACAAAGTTAGTAAGCCAGAAGTCGAGGGGGAGTTCTGGGGGGGACCAGATGGTAAGTAACTCTGCCCTGGAAGGCAAGATCCCCACAGGGCGGAGAGGTTACAGCTCATAAACTCTACACAGGCTGAGGGCCACTAGCAATCACCGTCAAAGAGATGAGTAATACAAAGCAGCTTCCAGCAAGAAGTGAAATACCCATCAGACCTCGAAGCAGTACTCACAGGGATCTACCCCGCACTGGTCTGCACCAGGGAAAGTTAATGCCATCAGACAAGCTGATACGAGTCCGCACATAAGAAAGGACCGAAACCTATATTGTGTGACCTCCAGCTCTCTCTCTTCCTTTTTCTTGCCTTGGGAGAAAGGAACGGTAAATTTTTTTTTTTTTTTTTAGTTTCTTAGACTTATTTGGGGGTTCTAGCTGGTGAACATCACCTTACCCATACATCCATAGCCAAAGAACAACCATTCTCTGACTGAAAAGGTCATCACGGTTTATCCAGCACTAAGCTTCAAGTCCCGAACACACTGAACAATGAGTGGAGAAGGGGAATGCTCCCCTTTCCAGCCAGCTCAGCTCCAGAAACTCCAGAAAACACAGCAACACACCCCACAGCCAGATGGCCTGCAAATCCTCAGGACCCTTTCTTCTGGTAATTCCTTTAAGCGGCTGAACTACAAGCAAAAGGTACTTCCCTGCCACGGTTAAGAAAGAAAGAGATGTGCACACTCTCCAAAACCTCACTGTCTAACAGCAAGTAGCCACATGAGGCCATTTAAATTAAACTTAAAATTCAGTTCCTCTCACACCAGCCACATTTCAAATTCTCAATGGCCATATGAAAGGTAGGGGGTACCTAACAGCAGAAATACAGATGGTCTCCCACCGCGGAAAGGTCTGTTTGATAGAGCTGTCCTTGATGGGTCATTCAGACCCAGACCACAGGGTAAAGGTAAGTGGAGATAAGAAAGACATGGAGTAGCAACCCATCGGGGAGTCAGTTTGGATCAGCTGTACAGATGGGTTCCTCTCATGCTGGGCAACTTTCCCCTAAGTTACAATTTACTGAACAATATGCTGAATATTTATAGCTAAAAGCAGTCCTTCTAGACACTGAAATAGACTCTTGGATTCTATTCCCAGCCCTGAGCCTCAATAATTTTTCTTATGTAAAAACATTAGTTTACAGAGGGATGACTTGGTGATGGAAAGATCACACATAAGAGCACTTGCAGATCATCTCGAAGCGAATACCATCTCCCTTCAAAGTATTTCTGTAATCAGGGCGCCGGGTGGCTCAGTCGTTAAGCGTCTGCCTTCGGCTCAGGTCATGATCCCAGGGTCCTGGGATCGAGTCCCACATTGGGCTCCCTGCTCGGCGGGAAGCCTGCTTCTCCCTCTCCCACTCCCCCTGCTTGTGTTCCCTCTCTCGTTGTATCTCTCTATATCAAATAAATAAAATATTTAAAAAAAATTTCTGTAGTCAAACTTGTCTCTTTAAACAAGAGAAAGACTTATAGGCAAACTCACAAGACAAGCAGGGTTTAAAACCACCTTAACAATGAAAGCTATTTGGAAATGAAATAGACTGGGTTTGGTTTTTATTTTTTATTTCAAATCAGAAAACTTCTCATTAACAAGTTATAATGAAATCAGCCATGCGTCAAGTTAGGGCTGAATGACCTTTAAAGGTCTTTCCAATTCCTAAGACATTGGTTCTATGATGGATCTCATGGGGCACTGGTATTTGCTGGATGTTTCTGGAAACCTTCTGTTTAAGTAGAGCTGCAACCATAAAACTGGCGATGCTCTACGCTGTCTAGAATAAGAACAGACATGCCAGTACCCAAGAGGGTGTCCACGCAGAAGGGCACAGAGTGTTGGAGTTCCAGAGAGAAAAGAGTGGTACTGCATGGCGTGGGTGGGGACAGAAATGGCCCACCCAGAGTGTGGATGCCTTTTGAGGATGAAGGATTCTACTTGGGAAAGATCTGGGAGTTGGCCCAGTGCAGGGTGTGAGAGCCCTGAAAGGGTACCCAAGGTTTCGGCACTGGGGGCAGGGGTAAAAGTAGCATGGCAACCCAGCGGGATGCTGGAGAACAAGTGCGGTTGGGAGGTCATGTGAGAATCCCAGGGCAGAGTGTTAGAGCCCGGACAGGCTGAGAAAGATGCCGTGTCGTGGGGAGGGTGAGAGCAATGGTACCAGCGCCCCAGTGTGGTGAGCAGCGGGAGCACAATGTGGGGGAGTCAGAGTCTGAGTGGGGGTGATGGAGGCAGGGGCAACACAGTGCAAGAGGGTTGAGCAAGTAAGCAAAACTACTGAGGATAAATGGGAGCCAGATTTCTCACTGTCAGAGAACGGAGCTACAAATATGCAAAGGGAGAAAACCAGAATGCTCCTGTGGTGCTGGATGGATTTGCAGATGGTGATATGAATGCATGGTTCTCAATGCACACAGATAATATAGAGACTATCCATCTACACAGATACAGAAATAAATACAGATGTTCATGTGCAATGCTCGAAGAAGTTCCTGAGTAAAGGACTCCGGTCGAGTTTCACCGTTGAGAAACAAAGTTCTATTTCAGATATTCGGTCGCCAGGATCCCTGGATCCCTGGATCCCTACTCTACCATTACTCCATTTTCAGCATAAATGTGCAGATGTGCACAAGAGTCTAGAAACATTCCCCCTGCTTGCATGCTGGTTCTCCCTGACCTGACAGATGGCTGATGGAGTGTGCCCATTTTAGCTTTAAGCAAACAAAATTGTAAGGTGGATTTGTTTTTCTTTTAAGGACTAAAATTACTAGCTAGGACTTTCATGTTTCCTCCCAGCAGTGCTGAAACCGAAGTTTAAGTAAAATCATGCTGAGAACTTGAAGTCTCCCTCAATAGGAACAGTGGTAAACTCCCAATTTAGTTCCTCGTAGAGACAATGACAAGAATTCCAGCTGAGACCAGCACAGCTGTGAGAACAAGCTATCAATAGCAACAACCCTCAGCTTCCCATTGAAAAAATATTGAGAGAGATTTAAGATAAAAATAAAAACCAAGCTCTCACTACTCTCTGTAGCCCTCAAGAGATGTGGGAATTCCCTCACAAAGCAACTCTCACAAAGCGCAACAAATCCAAAGCACGGCCATCAGGTCACCCACCCGGCCTCCTCCCAAGTCCCTGGAAAGGGTCAGGAGTCTGGAGTCTGTTTTTGCCCTTTTTTTTTTCTTCTTCTTCTTCTTGTTTTTTTGTTTCTGTTAGAGAGAAGGGAGTGTTGCTTATAAGAGAAACACCAAAACTTCAGGGCCAAACTGCAGGCTGGAGGGAAGTGGAGTGTGGGTCCAGCTGAGTTGTAGAAATCCACCAACTGGCCAGCAGAGGGAGCATGGTGCCCCAGGCAGCCTTTAGCTGTCTTCCCCGTCCTGGTAGGCTGACTCTTCCTCTGGCTAGTTATTGGATGCAGAACCTCAGAGCCTGAGACCTTAAGTGATCTAGCTAGAGATCTTCATTTCAGGCTAATTATACATAAAAACTAGGGAGATTAAGTTACTAAGAAAATACCACCACTATGGCAGTTTAAATCTTTAAAAGAAACTGCCTGAAAATAATTTTTACTGTTCAGAGGCGGTTTGTTCTTCTCTGTTTTACTGAATCTTTTCTTTTCAGTAGGTATTTTCCCTAGGTCAAACCTGAAGGGAAGGAAGAGTCCTGAAGCAACACAAGAGAGCTAGATTATACTAGAGAGATTAGGTAAGAAAGGGGGTAGAGTTTAAGCACTCTTAAGAAAGAAAGGCCCAGAAAAAAAAAAAAGAAAGAAAGAAAGAAAGGCCCAGAGGCAGCCAAGCTGAAGAGACAGCCCTGACCCTCCCCCTTCCCTCCCCCGCAGCACTGGGGCCATGGGGAGCCCACAATTCTCTGTTGTGCCCTGGGCACCACAGAGGTTTCGTGGCACCCCTGGCCTCCACCCTCTAGATGCCAGGAGCACCCTGTGCAGAACAGAGCGAACACACCAGGTCTGACCGCTCTCCTCTGAGAGGCTGGCTCTTGGCTGGTGTATGGGAACTTCAGTTTTAGGGGAGTTCCTAGCCTCCCCAGAACTGATAAGAGTGGCTTCCTGTGCCCAAACTGTCTGTACAAACAATATGGCTTATGTTGAACACTCACTTTCCTCCTGGAAATCTGAAATGTTGGCACATGCCCAGCAGAGCCTACGCATGTGATTAGCTCCCGATGAAAACTGGGGGCACAGAGTCTCTAACGAGTCCCCTGATAAGCAATATTTCATGCA